ACACACACACACACACACACACACACACACACACACACACACACACACTCCTTAGCCCTGTACAATATACAAGAGTAAGACTGTATTTGAGCTATTATGCAGTTGCCTCTAGATACACTATGCAAACACACATAAATCCAGACAAAAATATTTTAAAAATAAAATTAAAATAATTTATAGAAGATGGTTGATTTTTTTAGCATATTATTTGGGTTTTTTCCAGAAGAGCTCTGAACTATTAATTTTAATTTTTAATAATATTTGAAAACTAAGGAAACTGCAAAGGACCAGAGGACAAAGTAGCTAATATGATCCTTGTATAAAAAAAAGTTTGGTCAGTTAAAAGAAGGGAAATGCTCTGACACTTGTGTTTGAAATTGTTAAAACTGGTACAAGGTGGTAACCCAGTTATGGAGTTCACACTTCAGGAAGGATGTGGAACTACTAGAGAGAGAGTTCAAAAGAAGGTTAAAAATCTGATCCAGGGGTTGTAAAATAAATCTTCTAATGTCATCTTTAGGGGTTTATTGAGGTGAAGGTTGGGAGGTTACTTGATCACTAGGCCTATGTATGCAAAGGCCAGTTATTTTGCAGTTTTTCAAGCTGGCTAATATTGGCACAAGTTATTCAATATTGAAATAAGGCGTGGTTTTCTAGCTGAGTGATAATTTAATATTGCAGTCTCCTTACCAAGGAATTTATGGGCTTGCTTTGGTTCAGTCTTTAAAATAGCATTAGGTATACCTTTTAATGTGTGAATACAGGGTATCAGACTAGATCAGAAGTAGGCAACCCCCAGCCTGGGTGTCAGAGGCAAAACCATTTTACTTGGGACGGATGGCGGGGAAGGGGCCACGGCTGCGCTGTCACAGCAAGGATCGAGCCCCTCATGGTTCCCCCCTCGCCTGCCCCTGGCACGCCCACATTTTACGCATTGAAGTTGTTGGTGCTTTTGGCACTCTACCCCCAAAAAGTTGCCGGCCCAGGGCTAGATGGTCTTGCTGGGCCTTGTACAGTCCCTTTCATAGTTTCAGAGATGTTTGGGTTGGAGGGGATCTATTAGATCATCAAGTCCAACCCCCCGCCCTCGTCAGGAATGAGTGCTCAGGTCAGATGTCTGTCCAATCTTTCCTCGCTTTACATTGCTGGGTTTCTCTATTGCCCTCTACTTGCAGCTCTGCATTTAAAAAATGATTTATAATCACAGCTGTTATTCAGAACTTCAGCCCGATGCCCGACCTGGGCAAATATACAATCAGCTCCGTCGGCTAGGAGAGACTAAAGAGGCTAGGCCCATTGAGTTTAGAATAGAGACGCTTGAGGGGAAACGCAATAAGGGTTTCCATGATACTGAATGGCGAAGAGAAAGTAAACAGGGATTTAGTAGTGGCTCTCTCTCACCATACAAGAACTAGGGGTCATAAAATGAAACTAGTAGGTAGTAACTTTAAATTGAACAAAAGGAAGTTCTTTCCCCCACAGCATGTCCTGAACGTGTAGGGCTCCTTGCCATCCAAAGTTGCAGGAGCTGACCGTTTAGGTGGACTCCAAAAAAAGGGATTAAGCAAATCCTTGGAGGAAAGGGACATCAGGAGCTACTGAGCAGGGGTTTGAGGGGCACGATATGGGAATCAGCTTCCTTACAGGCTGCAAGTGAAAGACTGATGGTGGGGGGGAAAAAACCCGGTACGAGCCAGGATCCAGGCTGTCGTCGAGCTGCTCTAGTCAGAGCTCCTGGTCGAGCCAGTGTCTTTTACTAGGCCAACCCCAACATCGGTCCAATAAACAGGGCGACGCGGTGACCGCCCGTTCGGGCTCCCTTTGGCGCCCGCCCCTGTGCCTGGGCCCCAAACGGGCAGTTCTCATGGTGCCAGATGGGAAATCAGCGGGGTGGGGGCTCGGGGGCCCCGTGTGCCTGGCGGGGGACAAAACCGGCC